ATATTATCATAATTATGTGCATATGCATTCGTAGGGAATGGACCTGTGCGTGTGTTGACAAATATTCAGCTTAGCTTATATCTATGTTTCGTTTACAGCATGGTCTTGTGCATATGCATGGACAGGAAAAGAGCACGTGCGCGTGTCAACAGATTCTGTTTGACAATTTGTTCGGTTGTGGAAATGACTACAATTACCCTAACTATGTACATATGCACTTGCAGGAAAAGAGCCTATGTGTATGTGTCAACAGATCTGTCGTCCAACATGTATACTTTTCTTGTTGCAATAACCACATTTATGTGCATATTTATTGGTAGGAAAGGAGCCTGTGCATGTGTGGTCCAACACAAATTAGTATAAAACTGCTACCTAGTAATATCGCATGTGTATATATATACGTGCATGTATCGACCGAAGGATTTTCCTCGATATTGTATAGAATTTAGGGTTTTTACCCCATATTGTATGTGTACATATACAATAGAAGGGATCAGAGGGAAGAATGTGATTGTTTTCAAAAGAGTGTCTTGACAATATAGACATAAATACGAACAAACACACTGATGTGTTTTTTCGTACACATTGATACAAGCAAACACCCCCCTAATACCTGTTGCCAGGTACACTGATGCATGCATACCTACAAGCTTCAATGTGCTCGAAATACAGTCAACCACATACAAATTCGAGATCAACTTCAACACACACTCAGCAAAAGATAACTGACCGGCACCAGGTGTTTCATGGTCTCTGGTGGTTGGCCAACTTGTACACGTGCACTTGAGTCCACGTGTCAGCTACTACTATCATGTCTCACATATCCATGCGCACACACATACTCGTTCGAATCAGTGAGTGGTATATATAGGGCTTACTTCAACTAACGCCTAACGGTATCCTCACGCAACCATTCTACACAGACATACCTACAAGCAAGTATCACGCCACACACCCAACACACCCACACACACGTACTGAACTTTCCGCTCACAGCCAGCAACCGCTTGACGTATTCGGGGGGTTGGCTGGCCTGTACACGTACACTGGTGTCCACGTGTCTGAGGGTGCTGCTAGAGGGGGGTGCACTCGATGCGCGTACTATAGGCGAGGTCATGGGCGAGCGCCTGCCCATGTGGAAGTTTGACATCCGCTTGATTTCATTGGCTGCTTGTGACTCTGATGTAGGTAGTCTTGCGGTTCTGTGATTGAGGAGCCAATAATTCTTTTTTTGTAAATAAAATATTTGTGAGGGTTGATATTGCTATACGAGAGTCTTGTGCTATGTTCGGCAACTATCTATGAATATACATGCATATATATATACATATACATCTACTTTGTATTCCCATACAGATACACATAGATATGTGAAACTCAAGGTTGTGTACAGAGTTATACCACAGAATCAGCATATTCACGAGCATAAAAATTGCAAGTATACCGAGCTTGAACACTGTTCTCAATCACAGCTTATTACAGCTTAGCGATCCACCATATAGACGGGAGTATTTCACACACACACATACTTGAAAGAATCTGATATACTATCTCAAAAAAAAGGAGGCTACTATTCATACTATCCAATCAGAAGCAGCACGCTACCTTTCAGTCGATAACGTGGGCACAGCCTTGGCGGTACCGGTATGGGGCAGAGTGACTGTGCGTTTGATATTACCGTCGTCAATGTCTGGCTCGCCTGCAAATAGGAGAACCATTTCTTAGTTACTAATGGACCGAAGACTGTTTTAGTTCTATTGCCAGCATTATAAAAACCGCTCGTATTTGGGGGTGTAGATTGAGGCGTGTCTTGGCTGGAAGCGGTTATTCACGAGGTTTGCTGAAATGAACAAGCTACACTTTGCTGAGTGCTTGTAGATAGAGGCGTGTCTTGGCTTAAGATGATTATCCATGGAGGTATGCCGAATTTCGGAAATCCAAGCCAAAGGAATAAAATGTGTTACTCAAATATATCGCGCACGAAAGTTACACTGCGTATGTGCCATTGCCGATGATATCTTCCATCGCCATACGACCGATAATTACTTTTAAAGTGGTGTAATTTGGTACTGATAATTGTTTTTAAACGTACACATGGGTGTATTGGCAACTGAAAGTGATGTAATCGAACATTGACATCTGTTCGCATGCCCGCCCACGCACAATCACACAATCAATGGTTGTATATGTAGATGCTTGAACCGACAGGGAAATTTCGATACATCTCATGTATATTAGTTTCTGTACATTTCACATTACATATTCAACGGATACACTACCACAGAAGAAGCAACATAGCTTCACACTGGTACTCTTCCCATACCTGTCCTTTCCTGGTCCACAAACTCGCACACAGGTGTAGAGACTGTCCTCAAACACTCCAGTCTGGACCGCCTGACACCCATAGCATCACTCAGACGGCTGCGCATGCCAACATCTGAGTCTATGACTATGCTAGGACTCTCGGATCGCATCCTATTCCTTTCTGTGCCTATGAACCGGCGGTCTCTACCGTTCATGGTGCTAATGAGATGCCCGCTAGGACTAACATCGACAAACACAAACCCATCATCATCACTCTTGCTGGTGGTGTCGGGTTCTGCCTTGGGTTGAGGCTCAGCCGGTGTGGCGTTCGACTACATAGGCGAACGGCGGAAGCAAAATAAAGCATTTGTAAACTAGGTTTTTGTGTCATAAATCACGGTTTATGCTCGTCGTACAAGTCGTTCTGCAGATGGAAGTCTGTATCTGTGAGTCACAAATGATAGACTATTGTAAACTGATCTTTGATAGTCCGTGACGTCGGATTAAATCTCACAAACAGTGTTGTTTTCCTAGTTATACTTCGTTTTACTTTTGGTTGCGAAGCTGCAGCTGTGACAGAACATAGTGATTTAAATAAGTACATTCATGTTCTCTAAACTAGGGGGTTTTTTATCGGTGTAGCCCGAATTGATAAGTGCATACTGGTGAATACGAAGGGCACCTCACTATATACCGATACCAACTCCTACACATCGATATTCCCAAGGCTAGTGAACCAAACTAAGAGAACCTCGGCTTAAGATCAAACACTGCAATACAATGTAGGTAGAGCCCCTGCAATGCAAAGTGAACACAGAAACAAAACCAGCTCGATAAAGGTACCCTCTAATTCTGATCTCCGCCATCCACCTACATCGCACATGGCGTAGACCAACTGTCCATATATATATATATATATACCGTTGTAAGTCGGAACTAGTGTGCGTATATCTAAAGTACCTGTAGGCGAGATAGGTCTCCGGCACGAAGTGATTGTGCATCTGTGGTAATGAAGGTACAACACAGCCAGCTTAGTAAAAAAATCAGTCCGCATTCTAGTATCCAAACCCATGACATCCACACCACTGCACCTCTACTACAAAGCAAACACAACACAAGAATACTTTACTATACCTACCAAATGCCAGCATCTTCGACCCAGTTATTGGCGAGAAAGACCCGCTGGCAGGGTCGTGGCTCAGACATGTGCGAAACCTACGCCGTCCCTTACGTGGCGTCACAGGCGGTGGAGGAGAGTGTCTTAGGCGCGTGTGTGTAGGGGATTCTGTGGATAGGTGTACACATATGAGCCGTTAATTGTTGTAGCAGGCTAGATCTTTGGACATCCCGCCCTTTTGACACCTACCGCTGAAGTACACGCGTCCATTCACTGCTGTTTATTGATACCGCGTAGTACAGTAGTTTTGTGGGGTGGAGATGCAGTCAAATGGTGCTTGGGAGGCAAACAGGGCCACGGTCATATGGGGGATATCAAATACGCACATATCCATAGGTGCCGCTATTTGCATATAACTGTACGAATACTTGCCTACAATCTCATATATATTATATACATGTACTCACAATTGAGGCTATTGCCATATACTAGACACATGCTTACCCGTCGTGCCATCGTTGGTTGGCGTTGTACCGAACTGTGATGTGCTCTGTGATTCCGAAGCTCGGCGTCGTGTTTCGGCGGTTGCTTTGCTCTGAGTGACTGAGTTCCCCCTGTCGTCGTCTGTGTATGGATTGTCAGTGGCGTGATTTGAACACCATTTTTCAGCACACGTTCAAAATTCAAATTGTATAGCATTTGATTGGCACGCAGTTAAAACCGCCGACTATTGCGAGCGTATCCACCGCTAACACGATCCATTGGTGCACTAAGAGTTTAGTTAGGCTTATTGCTGCATTTAGAGCTAGTATGAGTATATTAGTGCATTACGAGTTCAAGCAAGTTTCTTGGTGGACCAGGGTATAAGGATTTAGCCACATGGTGATATGTCAGGTCAGTTGAGTCACAGTGTACTTGTGTGGTAGTGCAAGTGTCGCTGTTGCTATACGCATGTCTCAGCAGAAAGATCACAGCTGCGAGAAATACCTGTAGCCGAGACCACAAGAAGAAACCGACTCAGCCACCAGACTCTATGTCTATACAACCAATAACACTTACACACATACATGCATTCTGCCAGTATGATATCGAAGGATAATTTAGATATGTGCAGCCACACAATACATAGAGATGGAATCATCCGTGCAAAAAAACTAGGTTTACTGCGCAAGAGAACCCTGCCTATACGAGATGCACCACAACGATCATCTACTTCACAACCTCAATAAAAATAATAGACTAGCAATGTTTCTGTTACACCAGTTCACCTACACACCTTAGGACACACCCACCCGTGGGCCAATTTGTAACGCTTAAGTGCTACACATTCAATGCAACCTGTGTGCACTACAGATACTCACACAGTCTACTTCTGCTGTCCTTACCGGTGTATGTGTGTTGGTCGTCGCCCAGCTGGTCCGACGATGGTTGTCTCAGGCCTTGCCCAGCCTCAGCCGCAGTGGATGGTTTTGGGGCTTTTGATTGGCTGCTATCTTTAGAACAGGCCCGCTTATCACTGGTGCTCAAGCCATTATTGGATGGTTTCCGCTTGGCTCTCTTTGTGTTGTGCTGTTAGTTTGGAGAACAGATATTAAAGATATAAGCCAGCGCATGACAGCACATATCGCTAAGCCACTTTGAATGGCTGTGATATAGGGCCACCAGGCTACATCAATCGGTGCGCATTATCAGTCTGAGATCAAGTGAAAAGGTCGAAGTGCATTATTAGTCTGAGAGCATCACGTGAACAGGTTGAAGTGCGACGCATGGCTCATTCGATGAGTCATGCATTCGGAGAATCCATTCGAACACGACGAGAAACGACAACCGACGCATACGCGGCAAATGACACACGGGCACCACACAATGTACAAACGGCGACATTCGAATGAACCCGTGGACAACACGACAAAACACTCTACACATCACAACGTGACAGCGCAACCAGATATACGAGCACCGTGCACATATGTATTGACAGATGCAACTACGACAGAATAAGAAGCAGTACACTGTCTGTCTACCTGGGACTTAGTGTACATGACGGTATTGTACTGCAACGTATTGGTGAGATCGTACGTGGGACAGTAGTAGAAGTTTCCGGTGATGTCCACGGCTTGGAACATGGACAGGTATCTGAATACGTTATTTGCGTATAAGGAAGAATTGTACAGGCTCATTAGTAGAGTGTGACATACACAACGCAATACTGCAACGTATTCAGGTGTACAGCAAAATAGAATATTCGGATGATCAGCAAGAAATGGCACCATATGCGCATAAATATATGTATTCGGGATTTCCGAAGATGTACACATGTGTCTTCAACAACATTTCATAAGTAGGGCGACACAATTGTCTATACAGTGTGACCTCGCTTGTTGTCCACTTACTACTCGGCCACTATATGATAATTTATATATCTATATATTTGTGCGTGTGTGTGTGTATGTGTGTGTGGTTGTGTGTATGTTCATGCGTA